TGTCAAGTTTCAAGTTTGTCGCCTCGATCGAGTAGTTACATATTTAATGGCGCAGGTTTGATTAACGACCCTTTAAGAAACAGGCTGTAACCCGAAATGGCAGCAAAAGTACTCTTTATTAAACACAATATTCAAATTTTGAAAGTCAAGTACTAAATAAAAAACATAAAAAATTACTAGATTTTCCATTTTTTATTTACCTAAATCACCTAATGTACTCCCCTAAATTATTTCTTAACAAGTAAGAAAGTCTAAGTTCGGGCGGAGCCGAACGTTAAGTACCCGGCGCACGTATTAAATATATGTTTTTCACCTTTCCGAAAGCTACCGCTAGATGGTAAGCCGGGGTGTATCAATTTTGAGTAAATTAGCGTCCTTAAATTTCGAATTATTGAAGTTTCAAGCATTTCTGAAATTTACCGTTATATGAAAAGCGGCCGTAATTTTAGTCCCATTCCAATAATTTTCAACGTTTTTATTTTATGTGGCAAGCACAATAAAAAATACCGAGTTTGGTACAAATTGGTAGAACGGTTACCGATATACATATATGTGATCATAAGTGGGCGGTACCACACCCATTTTCCAAAATTTTACCATAAACGTATTTCTTGGTAAAGAATTGTTGCAAGCATCAATTTTGAATAAATTAGCTTCAATATTTACTGATTTATCGAAGATTTTGTATTTCTCTAAATTACCGTTATATGGGATGTGGGCGTGGTTATTGTCCGATTTTTTAAATTTTCGGCCATTTAGTATGCTGTATTAAGGCCAACAACTGTGCCAAGTTTGGAGGAAATTGGTGCAGCGGTTACCAAGATATTCACATGTAACCATAAGTGGGCGTGGCTACGCCCATTTTCCAAAAATTTATAATATTCTTATTTCTCGTCTAAAAATTATTGTAAATATCAATTTTGAGTGAATTATCTTCAGTAGTTACTAAAATATCGCAGTTTTCGTATTTCTGGAAATTACCGTTATATGGGAAGTAGGCGTGGTTACAGTCCGATTTCGCCCATTTTCAATACCAACCTACCTTGGATTAAGGGAAATCTACATACCAAATTTCGTTGAGATATCTCAATTTTTACTCGAGTTATCGTGTACACGAACGGACGGACAGACGGACAGACAGACATGGCTTAATCGATTTCTTTTTTCATCCTGATCATTTATGTATACATTTGTCTATATCTATCTCGATTCGTTTTGGCTGTTACAAACAACCGTTATGTGAACAAAATTAATATACCCTTATGCACAAGTGCGCTCGGGTATAAAAATATTTGACATCCGCATTCGCATCTGCATCCGCGGATGTTAGCTTTTAAACATCCGCATCCGCATTCGCATCGGCGGATGTCTAAAATTCCACATTCGCAACATCCCTACTACGGATGATATGCGAAGAAAAAAATGTTTGCTTAATGAAGAATGAGCACCAATGCAGCCACAAATGCAAATTGACGCAACCAAACAAGTCCAATCTGTCCCTTTATACGTTAGAATGGATGCAAAAGCTATGTCACATCCACATACCTATATGAAGGCAGAAATGTACATATTGGCAAATCTCCGGAACCGTGGGGTTCAACGCTAAAAAAACATAAACAATAAATTCTTGTGTGATTCATTTTTCTCAAACGCTTAAAGAGTTATAAATAAAAAACTATAATTTTCGAAATCTCAAAGTTAGCGATACTTCTGGAGGACGCAGCTTTTGTCCGATTCCAAAAATTTTCAAGACGGTGTTTAAGAAGGTCAGGCGCAATGTGCATATCAAATTTGGTACAGATTGGTGAAGCGGTTTTCGAGATACAAATAATGGACATAAGTGGGCGGACCACGCCCAGTTTCCAAAAATCCTTCGAAAAACTAGTTTTTTATTAAGATCCATTGCAAATATCATTTTTGAGCAAATATTACAACATTTCTGAATCGCACTGCACAAAGATCTGAAATTCCTTCACATATACACACATAAATTCATGGCCGGTTTTTTGGACTAAAATTATTTTATGTATCTAGCATTTTAACGAATTTTATGAAGAATGTTACCTAACGATCACGCTTGATGCCAACCTGTTATATTTTATATTTTAGTCTGTCAGTGTTCCATCAAAAAAAGATGACATTTTAAGCCATTCTCGCAAAGAATTACTCAGGCAATACTTGTTTTATTTTCAAAGGCACACAACTGTAAAAGGTCTTATTTTATTCTTTAATATGTAATTTATATGTACATACATATATTAGGTCCATTCTTTTGCAACCGAGCTACAAAAGAACACTCGCTTAAATGACGAAATACACGCAAAGCAACAACACAAATTCGGCTATTTATCCGAGTTCAGCCAGGTCGGTTAAAACATACGCCACCTGAAGAGTAGTGTTGTTAAGAGAAAAAACTGCTCTATTGTGAATTGTTAATGGGAAAGTGGACAGGGAAATTTTTGTTTTCGTGTATACATGATTTATATTTTAAATAAGTATATATATTACACAAATACCTCGCATAATTACTAATTTCTATTGTTTTTTGTGTCTAAATCCCGATGAACTAATCACATGTTTCTTGCCAGCTACCAGCAGGGTTGCTTAAGTAGCTAAAAGGAAATCTTACCCGAGTTGAGCGTTCTTTTGTCGCTCGCTTACAAAAAAATGCAGCTGTTAACAAATAAGAACTGCTGAAAGTGCAAAATGGAAAAGAACTTAAAATATTACGAGTGCAGATTTCAAATTGTTACAGTTTATTTCCAATGAGGGACACATGTTTTTCTCAACGCCTAATGCATTTTCCAATATTACATTTACTTTTTGCCATGATTTTCGGATGTCTCGGTTTTGCGCTGAGAAGGTTATACTAAAAAAAGTACAAAAGGTACCCAAAGTGCCACATCAAAATTGTTATTTTAATGACTTTGATTGTTTATACAAATTAAAATGACATTATTAACCCTAGAATGGTAAACATATTTTTTAGCCCTTTATAAACAACGAACATTTCACCTTTATACAAAAAAATTATTCAAACAAAAGAAAATATGTATTTACAATATTTTTTGTAACAATAATTAATAAAAAAAATTAATTTTTTTGGTATCTGAAATTTGTTACAGTCATATTAGTAGATCACATTTTTTAATGGGTCGTATAAAGAGACCGTTTGAAAACAAATAAAAAAATATATATCCGTTAGAGATACTTTTGTATAATTTCTTTAGCTTTAGATCAAATTAACATATTAAAAAAGAATATCATGCCTATGGCTTAGAAAATATTTTGTTATTAAAAAGTTTCCTATTCAAAAAAATACCTAATGGAACTGAAAAAAACACGTACTGCACACAAGCTTATAGAAAGAACACTTAACTGAGTTGGCACGAACCCACGCTTTGATATGAGAGGCCGATCTGGAAATATCGCAAAAACAAAAAAGTTGTTGCGCCTCACAGGCTATGTATACCATTCTAGGGTTAAAATAAATAAAATTTAAATAAGTTACAAGAAATTGTCACATTTGTTATCAAAATGGCCCAAGTTTTTTATAAAAAGCGAGTGGCACAAAAGCACACGGTTCCGGAGATTTGCCCATGTGTACAAATTTAATTTATGATAGGATGCAAATGATATACGTTATCGTTGTTTTCTCGCTCGACTCACCTTTTCCGTGCTGGACTGGAAGTAGTAGACCATAACGAATATCCAAATGATGCTAACAAAAACAATGAATTTTACATTGCGGCGCATTTTTCTGCTGTTACTGTTACTGCAAAACCTAATACAACTGGCTTTGTTAGCGCTGTTGTTATTGTTCTTGCTATTGGCTTGTGTTGCCTGTATCTTGGCAAAAATTTGTATTACCACAATTGCTGCTGTTGTTGATATGGCTGCTGTTGATGTAATCTGTGACGTATTTTTTTTTGTTTTATCTGTTGGAATTTTGTATTGGCAGCGTTAGTATTGTTAGAGTTGTAGTTTTTTTTGTTGTTATTATTGATATTGTTGATGTTTTTGTAGTTTGTGTCACCGCTTCCGCAGTGATTATCACCGAAATGAATGACAGGGGTCTTGCTGCCGCTAGTACTAGATACTTAAATGATGGATGTGGGTGTTGTTGTTGTTAATGTTGGGACAGTGCCATCACCAAAATCTTCAATGTTCAGATTTTCATCATTGGAGTCTTCGTTTTATGTATAATGTATTTATGGCTGTAAGGAAAGAAAGAATAGAAGATTAAAACCATATTTTGATTTATTAAGTATTATATATACTATATTCAAATATATACAGAAAATGTTCTGCGTATTATAGGGGAAGAGTAAGTAGCATTTTACACGAAAAATAATATTTTTTTTTATCAAAAAGAGAATGACAAGGTTCAGGCATACATAGTTTGATTGAAACCCGAAAATAGTCGTTCCCCGATTTGACCACCCTTGGTTTCCACATGGTGGTGATTCCAAAATTCATAGAGTTCAGCAAATAAAGTTTACATTCCTTCCTAGTGTCGCAGTACTTAAAAACCATTGATTGATTGATTTGATGAAAGACTAAATTCAAATTAATGACTATTTATATTTAAAAACATCCTAGATATTTGTAAAAAAGCTTAATTTTTAAACTTTATTTTCGTTGTCTTTTTATGAATAAAATATGACGATCAATATCCACAGTTAGTATTTTCAAGTTTCTTAGAAAAGCGCAAAAAGATGGCACAACACCGAAATCGGTTTGTCTCCAAACCAAATTTTAATAGGGATGACAAAAAATTTTACACAAAACGTCATATACCTACCCTATCGGAAACACAAACAACCAAAACAGCCAAAACTTTCAGTCTCGACCGGATAACTAAACAGATGAACAACCAAGCAAACAAGGAAGTTAATAATAATAATAATAATAATAGATTGGCGCTTACACATATGTTAGTGTTTGGCCGAGCTTCTCCTCCGATTTGTGGCGTGCGCCTTGATGTTGTCACACAAAGCGGAGGGACCTACAGTTTTACGCCGACTCCGAACGGCGATTGTATTTTTATGAGAAGCTGTTTTTCATGGCAGAAATACACTCGGAGGTAGGTTTGCCATTGCCTGCCGAGGGACGACCGCTGTTAAGTAAAAACCTTTTTCTAAATTTTTTTCGATGTTGCTTTGACCAGGGCTTGAACCCAGGTGCTGATGAGTGAAAGCGCGCACTGCTTACCACTACACCACAGCGGCCGACACAAGGAAGTTACTCTTTTAAAATATTTTTACTTGTTTACATATGAGTAGTCCACTTGCAAAGTGCGCTATGTAAAATTTTTTCGATTTTTAGTTTTTGGTGGATTACGTACCAGTATTTAAAGTAGTTTCATGTCCACTAACAACACAGTGCAAAATCTTTTTATATTCTGAAAAAATAGCATAAAATGTTAACTCTTCTTCCAAAAGTCGCTATCATACTTATTTATAAACTTTCAAAAGTATCCATCTGCTGATGAACCTAGAAAACTGCTTTAGGTCGTATAGACTGTTAATGTTATCTTATGTCATGGTATGTTATGTTATAATTTTATAAGGCTCTTATTTATCCAAATTTTCAGGTAATAATAAAAAAGATTCATTTTAAATGTTACTTGTAGTCGTAGTCGTTTTTTTTCAAATTTATGGCTTTCTTTTATAAAATCACATAACGCTGTTTGAAAGTTGACTACTCATATGTACATGTAAGGGTAGACAATTGTACAATTCCGTGTAAAGTCACAAAGGTGTGCTAATAAAACAGCCAAATTTTTAAAAATGGAATGTACATAAGTTAAGAATGTTAGTAAAAGTCAATAAATTCTCCTGTACAATCATAGTTGCAGTTGAAAATTATTTTCATATTCCAAATATGTTCAGCATAAACTCTCTCAAATGTGATGCATAAAATTTACTTGTAATAAAAAAATTCTGCGTATCAGAAAATTTAATATTGTGAAGAATAATAGCTCCTGACGCCAATGTTGCCAGACTCACAGTTTTAACTGCAGATTACAGTTTTTAAAACAAGGGTATAGTTGTTTAAACTACCTCCTAGTAAAAACTATAGTCTTTTTTTAGAAATAGTTGATTTGAACGAATAAATTAAAATTTCTCTTTCAGTTTTTGTGTAAATAAATTTTTAAGGTTAAAGGGGACTGATGAAGGAGCAGCGTTTCCTCATTTGAAACAAATGGTTTCAGCTGTCCTTTGTATTCCAGTCGCCACAGCAAATGTGGAAAGAATATTTTCCCTAACCAATTTGAATAAATCAAAAAATAAACCAGAAATTCCAGCACTCTTTGGTATTTGAAGAACAATACATAGATTTCTTAAAAACCTACTTCAGGTACTAAATATGACGTAACGAATCAAATGCTCAAGAAAATTAACAAAGTAACCTATGAAATATAATAAAACTAAATATACAATTTAAACGTTTTATATTATTTTATTTCATGAAAATAAATCTTTTTTTGGTTATTTACTTTTAGTACAATAAAAAAAACTTAACTTTTTAAAAACTCTTCGTTTTTGGAGATTACAGTTTTTTGGTCGAGAATGCAATTTTTTCTACGGAAATTTATAGTTATTGGAAAAATAATCTGGCAACACTTCCTGACACATAAAAATACATATTTGCATTTGTAAACCCGGCCAAATGTTATGTAATAATTTATTGTGTTGAAAATGAAATAGCTATAAAATTTGACACATATTGCAAACAGTTCCCGCCGGAAATCACTTTTTTGTCAATATCGGCTCTACATAAAAAAATTATGAATACACACATACATACATATTGATAGCTGCTTTTGCTGTAGTGGATGCTTTCTTACAAGTAATAAACAAACACATATTGACTACATGTATATTGATACAATTAAAAAATTTAAGAGACTGCAAAAACATAATAGGACCAGCAATAAATTGAGTACATCCATACGTATCACTTAAAGTTGACAAGTGAAAGACCTACTTTTTGTAGTGAATAAAAAGGCAAACAAATTTTCAATACATATAATACCGATACAGCAGCTTTGCATTTACAGTGAGTCGACTTAAATATGCTCTATTTCGGGTTATCTACTAAAAAATATTCAACCAATCCTGTGGTGCGATTCACTACGCGATTTTAACAACTCTTGTTATTGTTAAGTCAGCTAAACGACAATTTTAACAATTTAGCTACTCAGTAAACGTTTCCCTAACAATATTCGTTAGCGCCAATTCAGCTGTTCCCAGCAAAAAAACACGATTACCACAGAAACGAAAGTGGAAACGAGCTAGGCGATGGGAATCGCTTACCCTTTCGCTTCAAGAAGGCCTTATTTTAACATGGGCATGTCATTGGAGGTAAGCCCTTACCCGCAGCATTACCCTCAACCGAAGGGAGAACGCATGGATAAACAGAATCCAGAGAAGCGAACAAAGAATGCCTTACAGAGAAACTAATGTAGAATGCCTAGATAAGTACATACTTATTTATATTAAATTGAAATCAGAAAATGTCTTAAAAGATTAAAATTAATTAAAATTTTTATAAATCAGCTTTTATACATACATATGTATTTATTTAGGTATTTAGATTTTCTTAAAAATCGGTATGTACATACATGCATATTTAATTAAGCTTAAAATTGTACTTCCTCACTCTTGTACTTCACTTCATCGACTGACTTCAACTTCGCTGCAAATTGAACAAAGCAAAACATGATTTTTATGCGAGACAAATTTCCACAGAAAGTAACGGTAGAAAAAGAATTTTTGGGTATTCATTCTATTTTTCAGCTGACTACGATGCAGCATTCTACCTTGCATTCTCCGAAATGAAGCAAAGAAGCGAAATAAAAAAAATATTGTAGGACATTCTACTTTGCATTCCCTGAAATTAAGCAAAGAAGCGAGACAAATAAAATATTGTAGGACATTCTACTTTGCATTTCCGGAAATTAAGCAAAGAAACGAATTAAAAAAGAAATATTATAGGACATTCTACTTTGCATTCCCCAAAATCAAACAAAGAAGCGAAATAAATAAAATATTGTTGGACATTCTACTTTGCATTACCGGCAATGCCTAAAAGAAGCAGAAAAATTCGAAGGCATTATAACGCTATGCCTTCTAGAACACGTTACCACTAAAAGCGATTACCGATTTTTTGCTGGGTTGTCGCTAACGATAACGAAGGCCGCTAATTTGACGACGTTTAGATTGGTGCTGTTAATAAAACATAAAAATGCACAGCACCGCTAGCAAAAAAATATCAAAAATCAAAGGATTTTTCAGAAACATCAAACTTAAAGTGCAAGTACTAAAATTTAGTGGGCTACAAAACTGCATACATAATTCTTTTATTATTCTGATAAAAAACTTGAAGTTTTACGAAAGTTTGTTGAATTTTGTTTAAATGTTGCACAAGGTTTGAAGCTACAGTTTGTACGATTTTAGCTGCAGAATTAACTATTAAAACAAGTAATACAAATTAAATAACAAAAAAAAAAAATAGTTTGTTACAACACTTGTCTATATGTGTTCCGGTTATAATTTTCCAATAGAGCGTAAACAAATATAGAAAAGTGGAAGTTAAAAGGTGAAAGCCTATTTTTTTAATCTTACAGGAACTGAATATGCCTTGAATTTAAGGGAATTTAATGATTAAAGTTTTCAATTTAATACGTGTACATCGTTTATTAAAAATATAAATATTATATATCGCTAGCTTAGAGAGAAAAGTAGCTAAGTCCACTTTTTATGAAAACACATATATTGATACAAGAGGCTAGAGAAATTAAGAATGCGTCGATTCGAAAAAGGTAAAGGTCCATGTTTTATGCTTTCTCGGTTATAAATATTCAATGAAAGGAAAATTTGTTAAGTCCAAAAAAGCTCCGAAAATGCGATAATGCCAAAATAGGTCGAAATCTTTAATAAAGATCGAATCCCTCTGATTCGTATGGAGTTTTGCTTTGCTTTAAACAGGCAAAATGTTGTATTCAAAGTTTTGCGAAATACTTGAAGAAAATGACTATAAAAAGTTTTCTCCTCTCGTGTACAATTTTTAAATTGGGACTTAGCAACTTTTTAAGACGTTCTTTATTAATCATCATGACACTAGCATAATACAATCAGTCCTCAAAATAAATATGTATAAAATGTGCATACAGTGATTTTGTTTTAATATTAACAATCTTTTTCGTGTT